ATTTAATTTTCCACCCAAATTAAAGGTGTGTTTTAGAGAGGAGTGTTTGGGAAAGAAATCAAGGATATATAATCCTACCTGTGAAAAATTGATTCTTTGGCTTTCATCATCTCTCTAAAGATAGACAAACCAAGTAAAAATATTGTCACTGTGCAGGATGTATTTGGTTAGGATGGAAGAAAATCAGACTCAACCTGGCCTACGCAACAAGGAAATTTATATCACATAATGCAACATCTAAAAAAAACAAGCTTAAAAGTTGGTAGAGTCAACGGGATCTTTGCAGACTTAGGTTCTCGTCGCTGCATTCAGTGGCCCACAGTGCGGTGGGGATGACAGAAAGCTGCTTTACCTCCATGATTACAGGCTGAAACATTTTCTTGTTTAGGTTCAACAAGGAAATGAATCTCTCCCACTCCTACTAATCCTTACCTTCTGTCTGCTTAGGCCATTCTCAGATTAACCAGAGCCCTTGTCTGCTTTCTGTTGCTCTAGCAAAATACTCAGGAGTAGGATATTTATGCACAAAAGAGACACAGTTAGCTAATAGTTCTCAAGGCTTAGAAATTCAAACTTGGGTTCTAGCATAGGCTCAGTGTCCGGCGAGGACTTGTTGATGTTCCCTTCGTGGCAGAAGAGGAGGCAGAACACTCACTCACATTAGCTGACCCATTACCAAGAGAACCCCACCACCCATTGCTGGGGGCTCCATGCCTGTGATTTACCCAGACACTCCATTTAGCTGCACCTCCCAGCACCGCCCCAGCGAGGAATTAACCCTCCACCTGACTACTCATTCCTGACCCAGGGAGGAGGTGAGTGTCTGAGCAGGACCTGGTGGGGTAGACTGAGTCTGGAAGGACACCCAAAACTTCACGACAGTCGTCTCTTCTGACACCTTGTGAAAGGCAGCCACAGAAATCCTTTACTTCACCTAGCCGTCTACTTAGATTGTATTTTCTGAAATAATGGAAAACTGAACTCGCGGCTTAAATCAATAGTAAAAGAAAGTCTGTACAGGATTTTCTCAGAAGTCCTTATAAATTGCCCAATGTCCCCAGTCCCTGTTGCTGCAAATGACAGGATGGGTTGATGCTGTGTATGCTAAAGAGCTGTCTGAGGAAAGAGCAAATGATAAGCCTCAAATTAGAAGACAAGAATGCTGTCTTTCTGTAATGGTAATGAAAACAGATGTGATTGATGCTTTTGGGATTTTAGGAAAGGTGGGGCTTTTCCCAGGTTGATCTTACTGGGAGTAAGAATGCATAATCAGAAATACCGACTCCCCAGAACACTCTGGGGCTGGCATATAATGTGTAATCTTAGGAAATAAATTTCACAGAATTGTTATGCAATAAGACATTGGTGTTTCCCCTGGTTAAAAAAAACTAGAACTTGTTAGCTCTACATGTTTAAGCATTCTGGTCAAGGGAATAAGGCAGGTAGCCGGGGTTCAGATTAGAATCACTCCTTACCCAGTTTCTCCACCTTCACACAGAGGAGTATGGGAGAAGATGAGGCCAGTGACCTGGGAGGAGACATTAGAAAGTGTAGTGATATAAAAGTGTATTGATGCTAGCACCCCTGTTAGGTTTGCAAAAGAATTGAGGTACATCAGATGACAGAAGGTTATTACAAAAAAGAAAAACACAGGACAGGCCACTGTGTCTGGTGCTCTTGAGGTTAGAAATTGTTGTTGTTGCTACTTCTCAAGTGAAAACTCCCAAAGACAGGATCTGACTAGAGCAGTGTCCATCCCTCTGCGGTAGAGTGACCCCCCCCCCTCTTGCTGTCCTATCTTGTCTTCCACCATTAAGGTACACCATGATGGGTGGGTGCCAGGAGAAAAAGGAGTTAAAATATACTGAGCAGTGGGCCAGAGAAAGAGAGAGAGATCTACTGTAAATAGCACCATTTTAAGAGAATTACATTCTTTCTTCTGTTCAAAGAACACAGAGGACTGAGTGAGTACAGTCAGGAACACTCAAAGGAAAATGATGCAGCAAATTCAAAAACACCATCATGTCAAACACGCAGCCCTTATTACATGCTAGTAATTATTCTAAATACTTCGTGCTCATTTAATATAGTAGGTAAGTACCACACTCTCCAGTCTTTGTCTGGAAATAGTGAGGTACAGAGGCTGAAAAATCTGGTCTGAGGTCTCACAGCTAGCATGACCACTTGAATTTGGAGGATATGTTTTGTTTTGTTTGTTTGTTTTTACCACACTGTCATTCATTTAGTAGAAAAAAAAATTATTTTGTAAGACAAAGAAACTTCTAGGGGCTGAGTATTTGAGAACAAAGCAAAACCAAACCTGAAAGGTAACACTGATATCACATGGTTCTGGAAGTCTGGGCCATGAAAATAAGACTGGAGGCTAATGTTGCAATTCTTAGAACAGGTACAAGTGGCAAACTAGGAGCTGCCTCTCCTGTGAACAACGTGGAACTTGTGGGATATCTTGCTCACTCCATGCTACTTTCTCAAAGCGATCTGAGAAAGTAGCTCTGTAATGGAGCGCTTGCCTAGAGTATACAAGATCCTGGGTTCAGTCCCCAGCACACACACACACACACACACACACACACACACACACCAGCATGCTGCCCCTCAGACAACTCTGTATAGACCCTGTCTCTGTGTTACTTAGAAATAAATATCTGGTTTAATCTCTCCAACCTTAACCCACATTCAGTTGTTTGATTCTCTGATCTTAATCCAGAGAAATTAACAACTTTGTCACCGATCGGCAGAAAACAAATTCACAGATTATAAAGGGAATCTGTCGTGACTGGGCAGACAGTCCAGTGGGTATAAATTACTTGGTAAGCGAGCGTGAGGACCTGAGTTTGGATTCCCGGAATCCACATACCGTGGTTGTTTACTATTGCAGCGAGGTAGCAGAGAGAATCACAGCAGCGATGAGCCTCTGGGCGTGTGCCAGGAATTATCGTGAGTAGATTAGTTGAGGAAGATTGTGGTAGCTGAGGAAGAAAGGCTTAACCTAAGCGTGGGTGGCACCATTCCCTAGCCTTGGATTGTAGACTGTATAAAAAGGAGAAAGCCACCCAAGAATCCACACTGACGGCTCCCTGCCTTCTGACTGCCGATGCCTGGCCGGATTCCTCAAGCTCCCAGCCACAGTGGACGGGGCGTGCACACAACGCCCCAAAACAAACCCAACAGGAAAAGTAACTAAGACACTACATAAAGCTACCCTCAGTTCCCCGAGTCCCAGTGCCCCCACAGGAAGATAACAGGCAGAGACAGGAGAATCCACAGAATGGCCGGCTAGGCTGGTGCGTACTTTCCTGTTTGAATCAAATGGAAGCGAAGACTGGCATGTGAGTTTATCCTCTAACTTCCACTACACACACACACACACACACACACACACACACACACACACACACACA